TACGCAGTCCGACCCGCGGGTCGGACTGCGTACAGGTAGTTCCGCAAACGACTGTGGAGATGAGCGGTCAGGAGTAGAAAAGAGTTGAAGATAGGGGTTCTTGTAGTTATAATAAGGTGAATGGTGAAAGGTAAAGTAGGCGAAAGTAGAATCAAATTCGTCCGATTATTTACTGGTATCTCGTGGGGTTCACTGAGGCTTCGGTGTCCAAATGCAAACATTATGCAAGCAAATTCACTTTTATTTTTATTTGACCGAATAAGCTCTAATAAGAACCAATATATTTAAGTCCAATATCTTAATAAGTACGGTACACCCGCAATGCTTCTGATCCCCTAGTTTTCTTACATATTATATAGAGTGTTTGAAATTCAGTACAAGGTAAACCAATAATAGAAGTAATTCCTCTTCTGTATGCACCAAATGATATTTTCCTCATAGTGTATGAGTTAGCACAATGAACTTTTCCTGTTTGGACATCCGCTGCTTGCATGAGCGTATTGATGAATAGCTTTGAAAATATCTGAATTTTTATTGCGGGTCCAGATTGGGCAATGATTTAAATTTCTGATCTGCTTTCGTTAAAGAAATGTACGAAAACGTATCTTGATTCTAAGGTCTTTTTCCAATTTCTACAATGGAACCAAAATAATCAATTTTTCAATGTCATTAAAACTCCCGGTGAATTGATTCAGAAAATATAAATTATCAAATCATTCACGCTTAACTCCACATAGACAGCCTTCTATTAGGTAGCGCCCTTGGACCTAGCCTGGCTGAAATTTTTGATTAATATGATTGAAGCACGGTTGAATGCATCGACAAAGTGAACATTTTTATACAAAAGGATAGCTGACTACGTTCCCATCGTTTTGAATCAATCGGAAGACTTCGATATATTACTATGTGAACTTAACGCAACACATCCTAAATTGAAATTTATCTACTGAATGTACAAGGAAAAACTAAATTAAAAAATTGACGGTTCCATTAAACGATCCATTCTCCATAAGAACTCGTGGTTCGGAAAGTACTTCTGTTTTGATAGGCGGTTACCTGTGGAGCACAAGAAAACCCTGGTTCGAACGTTTTTCCGTAGGTCATGAAACTATGCACAGAGAACAACCTCATAAAGGAACAGAACAATATATTCACCGTGTTAACTGAGAAAGGCCATCCGGAGTCATTCACTCATTTTCAAAAGCGGAAAAGAAACCAGGCTCAAGCACTTATTCATTTGTTGTCCCAAAGGAAAATCCACATCTCCTTCCCATACAAAGTGGATTCGAAAATGTAGATTGTCACGCAACGTAGAAAACGTCTCACAAATAACCTACCATGTCGCCACATTACGTCTTCGATCGGTCGCACAGTGGCTCTCCAAGCCCCCCATTAGAAAAGCGTCACTTGATCGAATCTACCTCGCTTTGGTTTCATTTATGCCTTTTTATTGCAGCTGCTAGGAAGTGTATATTGCTAGGGATGGTCGATCGGTGTGAACGAGGATGAAAGGATACATGCATCCCAGTATCAAGGACTACAGTTTATAGAAAATATCCGCAATGCATAACACAACCCAACCTCTGTGTACTTACATGTGGCAGTGATTACGAGTCCTAACTTAATGGTGTGAATCGGCCATCTTACCAAAAGGTGACAGATCCTCTTGTGGAAACCACAAAAGAATTAGTTCAATCCACATTGCTTCTAAACTTATCCCCGGGATCACACTGCGTCGATTGCCTGTCGCACGTAAACAGTGCATGAATGAGACTCAGGTTGCTTTTAGACCTCATCGATGTTGTATCGAAAAAGTTTTCACTGTTCGCCAAATTTTAGAACACAGACACTCTTTTCGTAGACCTACCATTTCAGCTTTCCTTGATCTGAAAGCGGTTTCAATTCAGTCTACCGCTCCAAACTCTGGTACTGCATCTCTCAGAAGGATATGACCGGGAAGTTAATCTCAATTTTGTGATCTCTTCAAACTGATAGACCAACTCAAGTCAGAGCTTACGGCACTTTTCGCCCGAGTTCACTACAGAAAGTGGTGTTCGTCGGGGCTTCCCTCAGTTTTATTTCTACTTAACTTACAAATTTTATTGCGAAAACAGCACTGTCTTCGTGCGATGATAGTGGCATCGATTTGCTCGCAGGTGTTAGACTGCCTGACCTGGAGTAAGCAGATTACATTGTATTGCCAATTGAGGATCAAGGTACGTTACAAGTTTTTCTGAATAGTTTGCGTGCTAGTGTAACTGTGATCGGCGTGCGTTTCGCACCTTCAAAGTGTAAAATGTGGCTACAGAACTGGGTTTGTTCAGCTCCCAATTTCACTCGTACAGATGAAGTATCAGTGCGGCAAGTAGACAAATTTTTTTATTTGGATAGCTCTATCTCATCTAACTGACGCATCACGGACGAAATGTCAGCACTCTTGCAGAAGATTAGATTCACCTTTGTCA